TTGAGTAATTGGTGTTTGCTGTTACATCCTTCAGAATAAAAATTTCCCTTAAAGCCCTGCCGCTTTTCTCACTATATATAATATAGTACCGTATATTATATTGCACTATGTTCTTTCTTCTTTGAGCTTGGACTTCATCTTCCATTTTAAATCACTCTGGTTCTCCAACCAGTTGATTGATTGAGATAGATTGATGTCTTCTGTACAGTTATAAAATATGAAATTGAGAGAAGGTAGACAAAATTAGAATTTAAGAAGTCTTAGGTTTTGTTTGMCTGCCTTGAGCTAGAAGGAAAAGCTTGGATTGGTGCCATGTTTAATTATTCTCAGATTTCTTTATAAAATTTAATTTCTTTCTGACATGCAGTAGCAAAGCACAGTTATATTACTCTGCCAACATGAACAGACAAACTTWTTACTAGGAAATTATGAATTGTAAAATTGACATTAACATGAAAAGTTTTTTCTAATGGGCAAGTCYAAGTATACGACCATATATACCTATAATTTTAATTCTTCTAGTTATTATCTAATTTCTGTGTCCTTATAAGCGTGTAATATAGAGGTATTAAGGAAAGCAAATGTTTGATACCCAAAAATAAATATGCCTGATTTTTTTGAGGCTTCTGTATGTCAATTAAGTTGAAATGTAGAAAGTGTGGGGAGGGTTGTTGGGAAAAGAGGGGACAGTGTATGTATTGCTTGTGTTTTACAACCAAATATAATATGTRGATGAGTGCAATTATTGCTACAGCTGTTAGTACATAACAGACCAGCGCAAAATCGTAATTCTTAGATTTTCTTCTCTACCTTCTAACTGTGTTGCTGTTATTACTGAGATATATTGCAATGTTTACATTACTATCAGTAAATAGACACCAACTATTACAATTTCCTTCTTTGTGGTAGATTTATTAAAAACTGCAAAAAAGAAATACAGATCTCACCTGTTGTCAAGAAGCTATTAATTCAAGATTCTTATTGTTTCCCAGTTTCCTATATAAAAGACTCAGCTCACTTTTTCTATTTAAGGATTATTGCTTGTGTTAATTCACACTTCATGTCCTCATTCTTGTTTTGKTTTTTTTTTCCMCTCTATTTTACTTGGTTTCTTCTTTATTCTCTTTTCCACTCCAAAGTGTGTAGTATTAGAATTCTGACTAGTGTTTTCAAGTTCTTCAGAAGCTGAAAATTTTAAGGCTAGAAGGGCATTATATCTATTATTTCATCTGATCTGCATGAAACAGATCACAAAGCAACTTTGAGTATATGAATAATCTACTTCATGTACTTTTGTGCCTGAAAATACTATTTTTACTACATACAAATGAAAATGCAAGAAAAATCATTAAGGGAGCAGAATAYTGGCGAAGAACTATGGTACTAAAAAAAAAAAAGCAGCATAGTCTGTATGCTGGAACACAAATTGCAGTAGTATAATTATGCACTATCCTATGATGAGAGAGTTGGCAAATGATCATCGTAGACCTATTAATGAAGAACAGCAGTCAAATGATCACACACTTTCTCATATGCAAAAAAAAAAAAAAAAAAAAAAAAAGTGAGAAAGAAGTTATAAAACCAAAGAAAATAATTAGAGATTCATAAACAAAAGATGACCTTCATGTTTCTGCTGTATTGTAAGACAACTAAGCAAAGATCTGTTGCCAAGCCAAAAGTCTTCTTTTCATATTCCTTTACTTGTTATTYGTGACACATATCATGATTCTTAAATGTCAAGTCCTTCGACAGAATAGAGAGCTGTMGTAGAATCATTGCTAAATAGTTGTTCTATCCTCTCTTTTTTTCCTGGATGAAAAAAATAATTAGTTTTTCYAATTTAATTTTAGAAGCTCTGACATTTCTATCTGAAACTAGTTAAATTACAGTCTGTTGTTAAATGAAGGTATTCAACAGAAATTAGACTTGTAACAATGTTTAAGGGTCATCAAATAGATTTTCAAAAAGTAACCCTTTTTCACCTGCAAGTGCTGCTTTTGATATTTGAAGGCTGYAAATCACTGATGTTTTTGTGTCTCTGATTGTTTTTCCAGTGACTCAGTCTGTGAGTAAAGTCAACATTCACCCTCAAAGAGCTTTGTGCTTCACCATCGCCTTCCAAACACTTCTTACAATATTCTGTTTTCATTCTGTTGAACCATTTGCTTTAATAAACAGAAACTCATTGTAGTAATAAGCAATTTATTTAATAGTTGTAAAAACCATCCATAGAATCCAAATATCTTGAGTGACAAAATCATAGTCTCATGAGGGGAGTCCTACTGAAATACTAACACTTCTTTGTGTTTACTGAGAAACTAAGGTACTTAAAAATAACATTACTCTAGACTAGATCAATCTGATTAGTTAAGATCAGTTCAAGTTGAAAGCCTTGAGCAGGTGAGTGTGCTTCACAACAACTTGTAATAGTTTAGCATAAGTAATGAGAGAGGTTAAGCTGGTCTGATGGTTTCCAGTTGACATATGGTGGCATCTAAATGTTCGTGTATTCCATTCTCTTCTGTTTTTGTTTGTTTGTTGGCTTGCTTTTTCTTTCTTTTTGGCAAATACTTTTGTCATGGATTATTTAGAAATGGTAGACAACAATAATATTAGCTAGATACAATGCATGTACCTCTGGTGTGACTCCTGCGGGCTAGGTTGATTCTACACAAATAACTTGAAAACTCACCCTTTGAAAACACAAAGAGAGGCTGAGACCTGGAACTGTTAAGTCTGGAGCATAGAAGGCTCCAGGGAGCCTCTCTGTGTTTGAACAGGAGGAGAAGGTGGAGTAGCCTTTTTCTCACTGGTGTCTTGTGAAAGGACAGGACACAGGGCACAGACTGAAATAACAGAAAATCCATTTARCCAAGCCACAGCTTTTTTATTTGAAGTTGACTGAAACATGATCACTAGAGAGGTTGAAGCCTCCATTCTTGGAGAGTCAAAACTGAAGTAGACTCTGTTCTGAACAATTTATGAGCACTTCTGATCCTTTCCAACCTCAAATGCTCAAAGTGTTATTTACTCACCAATGGCTGTGATGGCAGCCGTAATCATCATTAAATAGATATTCTGTTAGATTTTTATCCCATAGACACTTTTAACCTGCCACTGGAACATCTTACAGGAACTTTCTCCCAACTGCTTGCCTTTCCGTATTAAAATGTAGCTCCCCATTTTGCTGTGGATAAATGAATGAACTCTTTATTGGTGTGACATCATAAGGGATGTAGAAACTCATTAGGACAGAATTCTTTTCTCTCAATGTTTTTTCTCTGCCTCCCTCTCTTTATAGAAGTTATAATACCCTGAGGGTTCATACATCATTTGAGTTTCTGAGGGGAAGAGAATTATGTTCTCGCTCTCTAACTTTTCCTGTATTGTGGGAGGACTCTTCGTACTGTAGTCAGCACTATTGATTTTATGCAGCAGAAAATTACTTTCCCCTGGATAGTTCTCAATTAGTCACTTGCATCCCATGACTAGCCTACTTCCAGCACTCAGCTGATGCAAAAGCAGCAGATACGGTGCTGTTAACCCTGGTGCAGAAGTTCAAGTTTACAAAAGTAGCGCTTTTGTAATGCGTCTCTGACAGCAATGAGATACGAAGGTATTCTGGCTTGGTGATCAGCATTGTTCTCATGAGTTGGAGATCTGCTGAATGTGTGGGATCTATATGTAAACCTCATTGTGTGAATGTATGTGTATGTTAGATCTTTACCCTCTGGAAAATTATGAGAGGATTTCTAATTTAAAGATTCAAAACCCCATTGGACACAATCCTGTGTCACATGCTCTAGGTGACCCTGCGTGTGCAGGGGCATTGGACTAGGTSATCTCTAAAGATCTCTACTAACCTTAGCAATTCAATGACTGTATGATTTTTTTTTAAGCATTATTTATGCTAGGGAGCAAAAAATGGATATAAGTTGACCAGGAATAAAATCAGGATAAAAATAAAATGTAAGCTCTGTTGTACTCGTGAAGTTATTGAGAAGTTTTGAAACAGCTTTTCAGTTGACAAAGTAACTGAATTTATGACATATTTTGATGTTATTTTGCATATGATAATATAGCATTTTTCACTTTCGTAAAAGGGACTAACATGACCCAGTGTCCCTCTTCAAGTATAAAAACGAAACGGTAACTAAAAGTTCCATGTTTTTCTCATAGATTCTCCACTTGTGTTGCTGAAAAAGTAAATTATATGRATAATGTGGAAAAGAAAACAACTAGTGGGGTAATCAAAAAACTGCAGAATCTGTGAGGGATAGATTGGAAAAATAGATTGGACTAGGACAATTAGGTAGTCTGGAAGACATAAAAAAAAAAATAAAATAAAAATAAAGGCCATCAAAGCATATTCAATATTTTTCCATGCCCCTCTGCAGTAGTTTGAATAAATACTAACTAGTTGTAAATTTAAAATTATGAGAAAAAAGACATTTATAAATTRAACTGAGGGTTGAAATTTCTACCATAACCCACTGGAATCAAAGAATCAATATTTTAGAATGTAAAGTTAAAAATATTGACTATGAATCAAATGAATATTGCTTTTTTTTTTTTTGAGTATCTGTTTATTTCAACAGATGACCACACTTTCACAAAATGTTATGTACCATGTTAATATGCAGTGAGGTTTAACTTTTTGTCTAATAATGTCCAGGTCTAAATAGCCTTTCTGCTGGAAAAAAACTATCACATCTAAAAAACAAAAACACCCCAAAAAAGAAATAGCCATTTACTGATTCTGGGTTTAATAAATTTTTAAAATAGAACTTACATTTTACTTTGCAGGCAAAACATAATAGGTAAGACTAAACACCTCTACCATTCCAAAAAACATCTGGATTGCWGATTGTTTTCAGATAGTTTAAGTGTTTGTGGTGATTGATATTTATATCACAACTTTGTTGCCAAGATACAGAGTATAATTATTGTACAGATAGAGAAGTAATTATGATAACCTTGTTTTTAATCTTTCYCTGTAGGATTTTGGAGATGATGGGTCCTTGTACATTACTAAAGTTACCACAACTCATATGGGAAATTACACCTGCTATGCTGATGGTTATGATAAGCTCTATCAAACTCATTTTCTCCAAGTGAATGGTAAGGAAGGTTGTTCTAATTATCAAATCATAGGAGACTTAGTTTTGGATTTCATTAACTAGATTTGTTGTTGCTGTTTTATTTTTCAATATTGTGTTACAGCTCAAAAGAAAAAGAGATATGAATGATTTTTCTCATTCCTCTATAAATGAACTTTCAAAACAATAACACACAATCTTTTTCATTTAGTACTCCTGTATGAGTAATACTTATTAGAATAAGTAAGATAAGTCCAGAGGATTTTCTGTACAGTGAACTGCTCACTTATGTGCATGATTAACATGTTATCTGTAAAATGAGGCTTTTTTATTAAAAATGTAGCTTTGAGTACCAATTTAGTAGTTCTGAAGAACACACTGGGAAAAGTATTATATATAAGTCTTATGCTAAAACATTGCATTTTATATTTACATATATATATCAATATATACACATATCTATATAGAATTATATGGTGTGTGTTTGTATTAGGAAGGTGCAGTGCTATAAAATCTGTTTGGAATTGATGATGGATTGAATATCAGACTTGACTGTTGCTTCTTTGTATCATTCAGCTCCTTTAAAGCTGCCTAAATTGCCTGGTCCCTATTTCCTCTGCTCTCAGAGCTGGTCTTTCATAGACTAGCACAAGAGTTGTACCTTCCCACACCATTTTGGGTTCTGCTTTTCTGGGGACTGGGGTCCTTCAGGGCAGGAGCATCATGTACACAGACAAATGGAGTCACAAACCCTGAAATTAAATTTCTGGTCAAATGAATAGGTCTTCTGTAATTTATTATCTGTGTATGTAAGCAGCAATCTTCCTAAACACAAGCGTGATGGTCAATACGTATAGCTGTGATAATGACTAATTAATAAAATGATACTTCCTAAGCACAAGCATGATGGTCAGTACTTAGAGGCGTGATAATGACTAATTAATATGATGATACTTGTATTAACAGAAGAGTCAGATAAAGGTTAATGAGATTATGAAGCTTCATTGGGCTCTGTAAAAGCAGTGTAATTAGATTTTAGGCTCTTTCTTCATGTGCATTTCTGTAAATCTGTATTTGCTTAGAGATAATTATATAATTTGCATTGAATACTTTGCAAATATTTTACATATAGGTATGTTATAATTACAAGATTAAACTGATTAGATTCCTTTTTTAATCTACAAATTTTAAATTGCTTTGTTCATTTCAAAAGAATAATTAGCCTCTATTGGGATCATTAAACAATACGATAATCAGCACTGTAAAAAACAAATAAAAAAAAGTTTTATGTTTAGAAATTTCAATCCTCTATTTTGTATAAACAATCTGTAAGTGAATATTCTAAGTTATATTGTAACAAATTGATATTTAATCCTTTTACATACAAACTATAAGAAGATAAAGCAATATAAGCTATAATTGTACAGGCATAGCTGTTTAAATAATCATAGAATCGTAGAACACTTAGAGTTGGAAGGGACCTCTAAAGGTCATCTAGTCCAGCCCCCCTGCACACGCATAATAAATAATAATAATTATTTATTAATAATGATAATTAGTATTCTGTGTAATACTTAAAACCTTCAAAGGATCTAATTTTGTGAACATGTGGGTTTATGAACATTTCTGTTTTGGAGAGCATCAGGTTTGGTAGCATTTAACTGAATTACAGTGCCTACCTAGAAAAGAACTATTTCTGATATGATGTTTCGTAGCCTAAATAACAAGACCAATCCATAAGTTAAATTCTTTTGAAGAATCTCTAGACACCATGTTGTTTTAATCTGTGTTTTAAACTCATGATGGACTTCTTTATAAAGTATTTCTATAATCTAATAGGAGTCTGATCCTGTGCTTCTTTGCTTCTTCTTTTTTTTTTTTTCATCCAAATACCTGTACCCTTCCGGTTCATATTACCAGAGTTTTCTGTTCTGCTGTTGTTGACGTCACATATATCTAGTATGAAACACTGAATTTAGGAGGTCTGTTCTCAGATAATAATGGACCTGCCTAATGGTTTTAATGTTATTTAAAGACAAAGAGAGGCTATGGAATTCAATCTCCCATAAATTATTTATAATCTCAACCCTATAATTTGTTTTTTAAATCCTTCTTTACTGAAAAAGCAAACAGTACAAATAGATTAATATAAATGCATATGTGAGTCGTGTACTCAGGAAGCATTTGTGCTATTCCAGAATCCTCATGTTTACTTGTTAGCCTCTATTTTTTTTCTGCAGCAGCTGTTCAAGAAACTGTATGGAATTGCTGGTAGATTTCTTTGAAACAAAGTAGCAAACTGTGGCCAGAGCAAATTAATTTTAATAAATATTCTTGTAATACTGTTCTTTTTTTATTATTGTTATTATCRGGGAGTTACTTCTCTCTAGAATACTGTTCCACAGTATTAATATATTAACTACTTTATGTAGTAATTATTCAGCTATATGGGACAGCAGATATTTACACATCATTTAAAAGTTGGAAAAATGGTTTGAATAATAATTTTTTTGTTTGTTTGTTTATGGCTGGACCCTCTTGCTTATGTTAATTGAAAGTATTAAAGGGTCATTGTTAAGAGTAATTACTGCTTGTTGTTATGTTCTTAGAATTATATAAATGTGGTATCAGTAGAACAGTTTATACGAACAGAAGTTGTAGATAAGCTTTCTTCTACATCAGAAATAAGAGAGTTTTTGAAAATAGCTATTGGAAGAACTGAAATGTCTCAGCAAAATTGGCCTTTCTCATTCATTTAGTGCTTGCCCAGTTATGGATCTATGCTCTTCGTACCCAGAAGTTTTAATCTTATTAATAACATTTCACAGTTTAAAAAAAGTTATCATATAGAGCCTAGTTAGGCTATATGTTAAGAATATATATMAAAACTAAAAATATATATTAAAATATATAATATGTAAAATATATTAACATATTAATATGTAGTATTTTATAGAAATATAATATGTATATAGTGTGTGTGTATATATATATCTAGATATAAAATCTCTCTATATATATATCTTTCCTAAACAGGTAACTTTTCTGTGGCTTCCAGACAGCTTGAAGAGACTATTTTTCTGTTATAAATTTTTTTCTCATTAGACATGATTGAAGTAGTCTTCAGGGWTTTTTATAGCAATTGTAAGCTACATTGAATAGCTATATATTCCTCGTATTTGGAGCCAGTAATCTCACATGGCTTGTTGAGCTGAATGATGAGGGATGTAGGGTGGGCTTCTCTTTGCTTCATTCACTTACATATTATGTGAGACTCTACTAAAGCAAGTCATGCATCTGCTCTCCTTCTCCCCTCCTCAAAGCTTTTTAACCCATATAATGACCGTAGTCTTACRAAGTAGATTACTTCTGATTAAGATACCAGAATATGCCCCTTTAAAATTCAACATTAACAATCAGTTTTCTTCCATACGTAAAATTTGCTTTCCATGAATAGTTATGCTCAGTCACACAGAAGAATGTGAGCGAAATAAATCCGAAGAGGTGAGAAGCACAGACAAATCAAATGCATTTTTGAGACTGAACTAGCACTAAACTAATAATGTGATATTCAGCATGTGTCAGTTGCACAGTTCTTGAGGACAGATTACAGGTAGCCTCTAGGATAATATGAGATCAAAAACTGAAATGCAAGACAAGTATTAAAAAATGCAAATTGCACACAGATTTGCTGAAGAAAGTAGGAGATGGGAAATTGAGGGGAAAAAAAATAGAGCAAGAATTTAGGAGCCTTGTTATGACTTAGGGAATCACTGTCTGTGCCTCAGCCTTGGTGTCCCAGGGGTATCAYTGTGGTTGAGAAAACACCACTGAAGGGAACAGCACCCACACCAGAAACATGGGATAATAAAAGCAAACTCAGACATAGCTTCAGGGTTCTCTTGATCTTAACATTTCCTGAACTTTCAGTGGTTAATTTAGGAAAAACAGCGTCTTCTAAAGTAGGATTTTGATCGTGGTGCTGGTTTTTATTCTAATTAGGAAATGTTTGACTGTCTTGCTTATTTTCTAAAACTTTGCTTAGAATAAGAGAGGCCAAAAAAATGTACCGTCTGCATACAGCAAATGCCTACAGCTACTACAGCTTTGGCACTGACAGCCTGGTTTAACTGATAGTAAAGAAGGATGTGTAACTCATCCTTCTTAGGCAGGAGTATGATTTTTAAAGGCAACGTATATCTGTTGGTTTCCTTCAAGAGAGATCGTAAACCTTCYCTTTTGAAGTTCAGGTTTATTTCCAGGCTGTGTATGTTCCCAGTGGTGTGTGAGGCCTTGTAAAATAGCAAATTTTGCCAAAAGCACAGAATTATTAAATTGATGTGTTTAGCATGTACAATCTGATTTGGGAAGTAAACAAAAACTGGAGCAACAGCTGGAGTCATGACAGACTGATGCTTTTTATTATAAAATACTGCTCTCAGTTGCTTATAACTTTGTGTAATGTAAACCCTTCAGGCTGAAATATTCTGTACTGGATATTTGCCTAAAATATCTATTTAATTTGCAGCTAAATCATCCAGAGTATTCTGAGTAGGAGGTTGAGGGAAAATATGTTGTTTTATTTTTTGTCCAAACTAAAACTTTATAGACACACACACACATTTTTTTTTTTTCCAGTTAGTAAAAATTCTCTAAAATTTGACCTTGACRATTTTCTGCTCACACTCACTCAGCAGCAGTTGTTCACGTGCGCTGCATTTTATTCACAGGAAGGTTGTTCCAGCAGAGGTAGCAGGTGTACAAAGACTGGCAATGCCTGACATTTAATCCTGCAAGCTGCTGAGATGCTATGGGGTCTGAGAGCAAGAAATAGCAGCAGTGCTCTCTGCTGTAAGGGTACCCGAGCAAAATGGAGAAGGAAACCATTTGGTTTGGAGGCAAGGGGAAATCCTGCAAAAATGGGTAGATTGGCCAAGGAAATAGATGATGTTAAGAAAGGCTGAATGGTTTCTAGGGAAGGAATTGGAGGGACCTTGCTGAAAGAGGCTCAGGCACCTGGGCAGGGCTCACTGAGGAGGCCAGCAAGGAAAGCATGTCCCAAGGGGACCGACACAAGGGATGCAGGAAAAGGCATGGCTAGGAAGAGCTGGAGAGCAAGGGGAATGGGAACAGCAGGCTGGAGAAGAACAGAAGTAGAACCTCTGTGCCCATTAAACAAATTCCCTTCCAGGAGACAGATGGAAACCTTAAATCTCTAGTTTTTATGTGGCCATGCTCTCAGCTGGTAGTCTGAGCAACTTGCAGTCACAATTCTATTTTTCATTTTCTTCTATGCTCTTTTCATACATTTTATAGTTTGCATGTGGGGTCTATATGTAATATTTCAGACATATTATTTGATCTTCACTTATATTTTAAAAGAAGTATCCCTGAAAACTACTATTTTTCACTTCCTGAGATGCAGTAGTCTGTGACATACCGATGCTCTAATAGGACAGCCTGCTGGGTCGTTTCTTGTAAACAGYTGGATAGCATTTGAAAATACTTGAACTCTTGCTGAAATAGTCACAGTTAATTTTTGATCTTGTTATCTCTTTTTCATTATCCACTGATATTTCATCCTCTACCCTGCTGTGGTTTGTGACACYGGCAAATATTTCATATTTTTATAACTATATGAAATAATACTTTGAGGGTCAGGAATTATGTCTTTTAAGCTTTTTTACAGATTTTTTTTTTTTGAGGAATTCCCGCAAAAGTTGTGTCTATGTGTAATTAAAGGTCAATGATTATTCATGTAAAAAATCTAAATAGCAAGACAATCATTGGTTACCAACAGGAATATGTCCACTGTGATATATGTCCCTTCTCTACCATTAGTAATGCAATATATAACAGACTTGGTTGATAAGTATGAATAGTAATCAGCTCACAAACCTTGGCARAGTGACCGTTCTTATTTTTTGCTAATAGTGAAACTTAGAAGTCCAGTCTATATACCAGTAACACTCAAAAAGAAATTATTTAATTTAAGTACTTTATTACTGTCACTTAAAATGAACTGATCTCATCTTCAGATAGTGTGAGATATTATGTGATAAAATCCAAAGCCATCCAGTCATATCTGTAATTTTTCAGTGGGCATATGTCAATATGTGTAATCCTGTGATCTTGGTGTTTTGCTTCACTTCAGAATAATATCATTTACTATTGCTAAAGAGAGTGTTAAGTATTATAAACAAGATMATGTTAATTGCACAAGTGATAAAGATTGCTAAAATATATCTTGAGGAGCAAAAAAAAAAAGTGGAGGTGAAAAAGTTAAAAGACTTGTTAAAAAGGACAATTACAATCTCTATATATCATGCTATAACTTTCTGGAAGATCCTGGTACATTCTACACTAATCACTTTTTTTTTTTTAATAATGTAAGGAAAAAATATCAATCTTACTACAAATCACAGGACTAGTGAATTTAAAATTCAAGCTTGTAAGTTGATACTACAGGCAACGAGAAGAGTTATTTCTTATTAAATATACTTTCTGCTTCATAAATTTATTGTGACAGAGTTTGGTGTTAAATCTCACTGAATGTGTGACTGATACCACATCTGTGCATTTTTTTTTTTACATTTTTTTAAGGAAGATAACATTTTTCTCCACTGCATGCTAATTATTTTCTGCCTCTAGTTCCCCCAGTCATCCGAGTCTATCCAGAGAGCCAGGCAAGGGAGCCCGGTGTGACAGCCAGCCTGCGGTGCCATGCTGAAGGTATTCCCAACCCACAACTTGGTTGGCTCAAGAATGGAATTGATATTGCTCCAAAATTATCCAAACAGCTAACTCTTCAAGGTAAAGGGGCTTTTCTTCAGGTTGGGAATGCTCTGTTGCTRTATCCTTTGCTATATACTAGATTTCTTTTTTATGCAGTTTTAACCAAGGGCTGAAGTATAAACATTTCAGGAGACATTTTCCAGTTATTCTACAAAATGCATCTCTGCTTTCTCTTTATTGGAATATTGGTGGTGTTTATTGGCAGAATTATCTGTAAGTTCTCTATTCAAAAGTCTGTGGTTTTTTAGTACAGCAAGCAGCCCAAGACCCTGTCATAAATACAGTATTGTTATTTGTTATTGCAGTTGGTATGCTTCTATCTAAATTAGGTAGCAACATTTTTGTCTGTAATGAAGATTTTATTCTAGTACAGTGGTATTAATCCAATCATTTTTCCTGACACTAGGTCTAAGTATCAGAATGTGGATCAAAGGTCATATTTTCTGCAGCTGAATGGGAAACAAAAAATTATGTAATTTTAGAACTCAGGAGAACTGAAATGAGAGTTAGAGACCTGGTAGAGAGGAAAGGAGAAGAAAGATCTGAAATATCTGAAATAGTTGTCTGAGGGGTCTCAGTGGATCTCCAGAAGAGATGCAAGAGCTCTGCACCAAAACAAACCAACAAAAAAACACAGCACAGCCAAACTTTCAAACAACAACAGAGGCYAGTTGGAGAGATTTTATACATATTCAGACCTGGGTGAATTTGGTGCATSTGCCCACGTTGGCATCCTGCTGAGCTCAAGGCTTTCTTGCTTCTTACTGTTTTACTGATTATCTTATAATCGTCTCTGAAAAAATATCAYGTGCTTCTGGTTTTCTCTCTCAATATTGTACAATCAATGTACTCTTGCATGTACAAGATGTATCCTAATACACATCTCGTGAATAGGATAGAGCAATAGAATAGGGTAGAGCAATAGAAATGGGTCTGCAGAGTGAGAAGCAGTGGCACAGGTGTACAACAGCTGCTTCCAAATAAGAATTTCCACTTAAAAAGTCCAGTTTTTAAAATAAGTGTAAATCATATAGATGAACTTAAACTGCAGTGAGTTGATGCTCACATAGATATTTACATTTTCTATTCACATTTTTTTAAAGTCTTGTGCCTGTGGAAACTTCACTAACATTCCTACTCCGTTGGACATACAGTTCCTCATTTCTGTGGAAATACGGATTCCTCCATGTGCATAATCCAGCTATGTTTATTTGGCCAGAGATTTGTCAGAAAATATTCCTGAAAATTATTTCAGGCYGTAGTTTCTATGGATTCCTGCATTGCCCTAGGTATAAAATTCCAAAGCGCCTGCTTTTCTATTTCTGCATTGCATTCAACTGAAAGCAAATATAGTTGCCTATGTTTGCTAGAAACAGCTAATTATATTAAAATTATTATTTATGTTAAAAATCAGTCCCATTAAGTTCCTTGGAATCTCTAGATATTTTGTGTCAAACCAGTAATCAAGTGTTAAGTGTTCAAATGCAGCATAATGAGAACACAGTATCTTCCTGTAGAAGTAGGAATGCTGTTTTTAAAGATGTCCATAATCATTTAAACAGATCTAAAATGCCAGATTGATATTTGGTTCCAAATTGCAAGATCAGATGAGATATTCCTGTTATCTGTGAGATGAATAATAGCATACATAGCTCTCTAACCCATCGAACACTTTTGGAGTAGTTTGGCATGCATCCAAGTTATGAACTCAGGAAGGAAAATGGTTTCATTAGCATAAGATGAAAAAGCCTTCTGAATGTATAAGTTGAAAGCACTGTAGCAAAACAGAAGTTTTTTGTTCGCATGCTGAATTTTTCCTCTCTTTTCAGCAAATGGCAGTGAGGTTCACATTAGCAATGTGCGCTATGAAGATACAGGAGCATATACTTGTATTGCAAAGAATGAAGCAGGAGTCGATGAAGACATTTCTTCTCTTTTTGTGGAAGACTCTGCTCGAAAGACCCGTACGTATTCTGAGAAATATAAGAAAACATGTAATGTTTCCCATTAAAAGAAAATTTGTTTTGAAAATAGCATGAATCATTAAATAAATTGAGTACACCTAGGTACTGATTTAAAAAAAAAAAAAAAAAAAAGTTCAAATAGTGATGACAAGAATCAAAGAAGGAAAAGGACATAATCAGTGTTAAAATTTATGCCATTTGTACATTACAGGATTGTCACATATGAAGAAAATAAGAAGGGGGGAAAAAAGAAGCAGATTACTAAATAAGTCAGGAAAGTACTCCTGCTAGGTGGGGAATTAAAAATAGTTTTTGTTTTATTTTTTTTCAGTTCAGTTCAAAGAAGTCTTTTTTTTCCCCAGTTTTTTTTTCTTTGTGTTTCACATATCCAGAGTCAAATTTTGCCCTGATGACATGACAGTCATCACAAGACTTGATCTCAACTGGAGCACTTAACCATTTCCAGATCACCCGGCCCATGAAATCTTAGGCCCTTGATAACTGCAGTCCTCCAGAAAGGTGAAGCAGCAGTGCTAATATTTATTTGCTAGACTGGAAGTTCAGTGTGCCAGAGAAATGCRTATCTACCACCCCGAAGTGGTTTTCTCTGTGATGTTTTTTTATGTTGAATAGGAGTGGGGCTGATACACTCTGTTTATTTGTCTTCCTAGATAATATTTTCCACTTCATTTTCTCTTTTACCTTCTCAGAAAAATCCGTTCTTGCATTTATATTCTAGCTTGAGTCTTAAAAAATAAAAAGAAAAAAGAAAAARATATTTTAATGAATGCTATATATATTCATTGGAAATAGATCTAGTAAAATGATAGTTATTTTACTAGTAAGTCTGAATGCATTAACCCAAAGGATTCCTATTTATCTGGAAACTTATTTAACAATGATGAGTATTCAGGAGATACTACAGGCAGAATTAGTATCACTGCAAGGCTGTCTGACATTTTGTATTATAAGACACTGAGTTCAGCTACATATAGATTTATTAGGCTTTAAATATTTGCAAGGAAATCTTCCATGTAGGAAAGTTTTATAACACAAAGGTTAATACATTTACGTAGCTACTTTGAGTAGCATTAGTTATATCTGTCATTTTGAAAGTCTTAGCATGTGTTTCTATTTTTTTCTCTCTTTTTATCTATATTTGTAAGAGAGTCATGAATATGACTACTTAGACATTCTGGAAAGGCAACTGAGGATAAATAAGTAGTTTTGATCATTTTGAAATTCTAGTAATCTGGTGTTATGAAGTTGATGTGTCACCTCATTTTGTCTTCAGCAGTCTGGAAAGAGAAAAAGATAATTATGGCTGTTACCAAGTTACAAGGCTTGGAGAACTGAAAAATTTTTAGGAAGGTTTCTTTGGCCTTAGTAAATRAGTTATATTTAACAGTTGAGAGTCCATGTAGTTACTATTTTAGATCTGCTTGTGCTGTATCAGAAATAGTCACATCTATGCAAAATATTGTGAATAGCCATCCCTATGCAAAATATTGCTTTCAGGGCTTATAGTATGTTGCAAGAATTTTAAATCACCTAGCTTTACAGGGTTAATAAAATCACACACCATGCAAGGAGCACTGTTTTTCAGCACTTGCAACAAAAGCTTTTAAGCCAGTAGCAATAAAGCTCTTAGGATAATCAATGACATGAAAGATGTAAATGAAGGAAGAAAGAATATATATGCCTAATTCATCACAGACTCTTTCATTCTTAGAGAATTCATTTATTTTAAACTCTGTGTCTTATGTCCAAGAGGAGTTTTATCAGTATATCCTTACCTGTCTGAACATGGTGTTCTAAAAATTGGTGGATGTAGAAATGCAGGCATAGTCTAGAAGTGCATCAGAACAATAGAATACAAGTGCAGCAAGTAGTTACACAAGATGTTTACTCTAATTCAAAAACATGCTGAGCATACAAATGTAAATGCTAATGTAAAAGAACAATTACTATAAATATCAGTATTCTAATATCAGTCAGTCTTCGAAAGTACAAATTTTGACAGACATTGAAGCTATGTGCTCACTTTTTGCTAGATGTGCTGTTTTAAGGTCCTTCTACAAAGAGATCTCTCTAGGTTTAGAAAACTGAAATTACAGTATAATGTTTTAAATATGATTTCATATGATCTAATRTAAACTGTACCTGCTATAGATTTTTCTTTTTTAATCTGCTTTAATCCTCTTTTAAGGAAATAAAGCAGACATGTTCATTTCCTTAATGAAGCTTTTCATTTGTTGACCTTTTTTTCTTACAAAAGCCTCCCTTCTGCAATCTCATAGCATAATATTGCTTTGGGTAAAATCAGAACAGCTTCTCACTAGGTAGTCATTTAATCTGTGTTTCTTTTTTTAAAATGTTACAYAGAGTAAAGCTCTTCACAAAATAAAAGCACTGAAGGTTATTTACCTGGTTAGCTATTCAAGAAGTATTGACAGCTTTTATAGTAGACTTCCATAATATTAAAACTATAATTGCATTAAGCTTTATAAACTACAAAATGAACCTAAAACACGATGCCATTTTTTACCAGTGGATATATTTTATTTCCTAGAAAGACAATATTCAAAGTGAATGTTCACTCAATTTTTAGGAGATATCTGTGGAATCTCATTTTTAACATATAATATTGTTGTGTATAAAACTTAATATTTTGAGATGTTTTCAGAATGTTTGAGAATGAGAATTTTTTCTCAAAATGTTTTGTGAAAAAAGTAATATAAGTGGCAGAAGTGGCTGCCTCGTTACATTAGGAATGGATAAGTCTTGCTAGTGCAAACATCTGCTCTTCAGAGAAAATCTTACATTTTCTAGTATTTCTGTCTCAGAATCAGTACAATTATAGATAAAAATAGACTGCTAAATAATATGTAGGGCTTTTCTTCTATCATGCGCCTAATAATTGTTAGGCTTTCCAAGTGGTTACATGCATATATAATGTTTGTGTCTCTATTAAAAAAAAAAAAACACACAAAAGAAGGACAAATGAAGGGCAAACCTATACTGATTTGTGGGAAATATGGTGATAGTAGCAAAAATAAAAATATATAGTGAAATATATAGAAGAGTAAGGGCATTGGGTATTTTAATGTTTTCAGCTGCTAGAACAAAAATATGATCCATTCCAGTTTTCAAGAAAAGTCAATGTACTGTGATGATAATGATTTGTCATCAAGATGTTAATTTGAGATTAAAGTTAATGAAAAATAGTGTTTTGTCATACAGCTCCGTTAAATACATGCCAGTATTAAACTGAAGATTTGCTCTGTCATTCACTGGTAAAACTTTTAGACAGTCTCAAGAATATTTTTGGCTTTTCTTAGCACTTAAGCCTATTACAATGTGCACTAAAAATAAAACTTCTGAAACTATGTTTTCATTTTGGCGTAGTCTCTGGTGAGAGTAATTAAATATTTTTCTTTAATATAGCTTGACTTCAGCATATTGTTTCACCAGTAATCTCATTTTGTAGCAGCAATTTGATACATTTAACATTTTGTCCAAATGCATGCATGTTTTTGATAGACTAATAAATTGTGATGTAAATTGCTAGTTTATATTATCTTGCCCCAAACATCTGTTGTAAGCTCTGCTGACAAATGCCTAGTACTGTCTATTTTTAGTTGTTAAAATGTCAGTCATTTAGGTTGAAACATTTAATTGCTGCTCTTGTACATAATTTTTTCAAATATATCTCTATATATTTACTAATATGCTATATATATTTACTAATATGTTATCACCACTCATGAAACAGGTACTATGTAGAAAACATGTTTGTTTGTTGTTTGTTTTTTCCTTATATTAAGAATGCTATGGTGATTTACTGATAGCCTTTTATACTGTAGTCTGGAACTTGCTATTGGTGATTCATGTGGGCAGGTTTTCATGGGAATGTGATCCAACTATGGTAATAATTTCTCCAGAGATGGACAAAGTAAAAATCTCCAAACAATCTATGATTTAGACATTGGGTAGGGACTTCAGGGACTGGTAGCTTTCTGCAGACATCATCTGCTCTCTGTAGAGCCCGTCTTTTAGAAGACTATCAGGACTAAATGCAATTTAAGTAATGAAATAGTAAGAATTACTCTTMAGGCTTTGAAGTGTGTTGCCTCTGCATCAGACCTGAAGGAAAGGCTTGTGGGAATGAAAMCCCCCCTACTTTTTGTCCAGCTGTGGTAGTTGGTGAAGAGCCTGGCTCCATTGCCTTGATGACCTCCTCATATGTACTGGAAGGTGGTTACAGGTACCTCCATACTCGCTTTTCTCCAGGATGAGACAGGATGACAATCCTCTTGTTAAATTCCTACCTATTGTGCATACTTTTTATACTGTGGTCTTTGTTCTCCTTCCCAGCGAGACCTTTGCCTAAGAATTCATGGGATGTTTTTTTCAATCTCTATTTGAAAGAATACTTTAGACTGAGAATACTTGGCCCTAAACAGAAAGTGGATGTTTCATGAGAATATTATAATTCAACTGGAAACTACTTATGATTATTATGGTTTGAGAGTTTGGAAGGCTTTTCCCATCAGATATTGATCTCTTCTGTGTTAATTAACATTTTAGATTAATATAGAAAACATAAATACTAATTACATCTGTATTTCTGATGCGTCCAGATTGGTTCCTCATACAGATTTTCAGAAAGTTCATTTTAACATACTATGACTTTTATGCTCTGCAAGAAGTATACCACATACTTAGTGAATAGATCTGAATAGAACAGTTACATCCTACACCTGCAGCAGTAGCATCTAAAATATTTATGGGTGTAAGAACTGCTTAAACTCTCCAGAGACCAGAAACTCTTCCAGTGCTGTGAAWTCTGTTTTCTCTCAAGTTTTTGGTCAAAGCCATCAAGCAGGAGAGGGCTGTGAGATAGCTGGATAACCCTGAGGTGACTGGTAAAAAACATTTGGAGGGATAATGATCTAATGTAAATCTCAGTGAAGATAAAAGTGTCTCCTCCAGTCTCG